CCCCCCCCACCCCCCCCCCCCCCACTCTCCCCCCTCTCGTCCCCCTTTTCCCCCCCTTTCTCCCCCTTTCCCCCCCCTTTTTCCCCTTTTCTCCCCATTTTGTTCTGTTTTCTTTCCTTTTTCTCATGTTTTTCCCTTTTTCCCCTTTTCTCCCCCTTTCCCTTTTTTTCCCCTTTATCCTTTTTTTCCTTTTCCCCCATTTTCTCCTTTTCCCCTCTTCCTTTTTCTCATGTTTTTCCTCTTCCCCCTTTCTCTTTTTCCTGCTTTTCCCCCTTTCTCTCCCTTCCTCCTTTTTCCCCTCTTTTCTTTCTTCCCCTTTTCTCCTCCTTTCCCCCTTTTTATCACTTTTTCCCTTTTCCTTTTCCCCCTTTTCCCCTTTTTATCACTTCCCCCCCTTTTTCCATCTCACCCCACTGATCCCACAGCTCTGCTCTTCAGGTTCCACCCAGCCGTGCTGGGATCCCGCAGTTCTGTCACCCACAGATGACACCCATTCTGTCCCCCCCCCAATGATGGCATTCTGTGTCTATGGGGTCCCTCCCACCCCATTGATGGCATTCTATGATCTATGGGGTCTTTTCCACCCCACCCCCACTGCGATCCCCTGGTTTTCTGATCTATGGGATCCCTCCCACCCCAATGATGGGATTCTATGATCTATGGGGTCTTTTCCACCCCACCCCTGCTGCGATCCTGTGGTTTTCTGATCCATGGGGTCTTTTCCCCCCCAATGGTGCCATTCTGTGATCCATGGGGTCTTTTCCCCCCCAATGGTGCCATTCTGTGATCCATGGGGTCTTTTCCCCCCCTCCCCGCTGCGGTCCCACAACTTTGGGATCCCTGGGGCCCCTCCCGGAGTTGGGAGCCGTAGCTCCCGGCCGCCCGGCGCTGCATTGTTGCGCCGTGAGTCATTGGCAGCAGCGCGGCGTGGGCAGAGCCCTGCGGTGCCGTGGGGCCAAGGGGAACCCGAGGGGCGGCTCTGCCCCACGGCACTGCGGCTCTATGGGGCACCGCGGGGTCTTTGGGGGGTTTGGGGGGGGGGGGGGCTCCCCGCAGTGCGGTGCCGTGGGGGGGAGCGTCGGACCCGTTCTTATTATAGAGGAGACGGAAATAGCGCTGGGGGTTGGATCAGATTCCCCCGCTCTGCAGAGGGGAACGGCGCTGACCTTGGGGTTGGGGGCGGGGGGGGGGAGGAAGGGATGGCTGTGGGGCTGTGGGGCTGTGGGGCCGTGGGCAGGGGGGAGGATCAGCTGTGGGGCAGGGGGGAAAGTCAGCTGTGGGGCTGCGGTGACTTTGTGTGCCTGCATACGTGGGGTTATGGGGCAGGGGGAAGGAACAACCATAGGACAGGGAAAGGCCCAGCCGTGGGGGGCTGTGGGCCTGGGTGAGCCTACAGACGTGGGGCTGTGGGGCAGGGAAAGGCACAGCCGTGGGGCAGAGCAGTGCCATGTCTATGGGGCAGAGCAGTGCTATGGGGCAGAGCAGTGCCATATCTGTGGGGCAGAGCAGTGCTATGGGGCAGAGCAGTGCTATATCTGTGGGGCAGAGCAGTGCTATGGGGCAGAGCAGTGCCACGGCCGTGGGGCGTTGGCCGGGAGGCGGAAGTTGAAGGAGGGAACGGAGCTGCGCCACCTCCTGCCGCCAGGGGGCGCCACCGGCGTCGACACGGCCGCCTCTTCCGGTCTGGCGGCGCCCACTTCCGGCCGCTCGGCGCGCAGTCATGGCCGCCCCCAGGCGGCGCCGTGTGGCGCTGCGCGGCGATCCCGGCGATGCCGGCGCCGCTGACCCCGCGGCGTTTGCAGGAACGCCAAGAAGGAGGCGGACCTCCTGGCGGCCCAGGCGCGCCTCAAGGACCTGGAGGCTCTGCTCAACTCCAAGGAGGCCGCGCTGTCCACGGCGCTGGGTGAGAAGAGGAACCTGGAGAACGAAGTGCGGGACCTGAGGGCGCAGGTGGCCAAGGTGAGGCGGGGGGTGCGCAAAGATTGCGCTGTGGGGCACTGCTGGGTGCTACGGGCCGCTGTTGGGTGCTGTGGGGCGCTGTTAGGCGCTATGGGGCGCTGTTGCACACGACGGGGCTCCATGGGGTGCTATGGGGTACTATTGGGTGCTGTGGGGCGCTGTGGGACACTGTTGCACATTCCTGGGCACTGTTGGGTGCTGTGGGGCGCTGTTGGGTGCTATGGGGCACACTTGGGCACTGTTGCACAGTACTGGGTGCTGTGGGGTGTTGTGGGTCATTATTGGGCACTATGGGTGCTACTGGGCTCTGTGGGGCACTGTGGGATGGTATGGGGTGCTATAGGGCGCTATTGCACACTGCTGGGCGCTATGGGGCACTGTTGAGTGCTATTGAGTGCTATGGGGTGCTGTTGGGTGCTATGGGTCACTGTTGGGTGCTATGGGGCACATGCGTGGGGGATCTGCGGGCTGCAGTATTGCTGGATCCCACGGAGTCTCTGTGTGTGACCCCCAAACATATGGGGCTGGGAGTGGGGATGTGTGGGGCTGGGGATGTGGGGATGTGTGGGGCTGGGGGTGGATGTGTGGGGCTGGGGATGTGGGGATGTGTGGGGCTGGGCTGGGCTGGGCTGTAGCGGTGGCTGTGTTGCAGCTGGACGGCGCGCTGGGCGAGGCCAAGAAGCAGCTGCAGGACGAGATGCTGCGGCGCGTGGATGCCGAGAACCGCCTGCAGACCCTGAAGGAGGAGCTGGAGTTCCAGAAGAACATCTACAGCGAGGTGCGGCGCGTGGCGCCACCGCCAGCCCTGCCCCACAGCGGGCGCCTGTGCCCCCCATGTGCCCCATGTGCCCCCCAAGTGACTCCGCTTGCCCATGTGCCCCCCAAGTGCTGCCATGTGCCCCCCGAGTGACTCCACTTGCCCCCCGTGCCCCCCAAGTGCTGCCATGTGCCTCCTAAGTGCCACCATGTGCCCCCCAAGTGACTCCGCTTGCCTCCCACATGCCTACTAAGTGCTGTCATCTGCCAAGTGACTGCATTTGCCCCCCCATGCCCCCCAGGAGCTGCGGGAGACCAAGCGGCGGCACGAGACGCGGCTGGTGGAGATCGACAACGGGAGGCAGCAGGAGTTCGAGAGCAAATTGGCCGAGGCGCTGCAGGACCTGCGGCGGCAGCACGAGAATCAGATCCGGCACTACCGCGATGAGCTGGAGAAAACCTACGGCGCCAAAGTGAGCGGGGGGGGGGGGGGGGGGGGGGGGCGGGGCATGGCTGTGGGGGAGGGGGCCCCCGACTGTGCTGGGGGGCCGTAGGGCGGGGGAAAGGGGTGGCTGTGGGGTGGGGGGTCAGTGTCTCACCTGTGGGGGCCACAGGCGGCGAGGAGCAGCTGTGGGGCAGGGCTGAGCCCCAGATGTGGGGCTGTGGGGCAGGATAAAGCCTCAGCTGTGGGGTGGGGGGGGCTCAGCTCAACCTGGCCCTAAGCCTGATCCCAGCGCTGACCCTGACCCCCCCCAACCTCAACCCTGACCACCTGACCGGATCTGACCCTGCCGTTTTGCCCTCCACCCTGACCTGACCCCTGACCCCTACCCTAACACTGACCCCTGACCCCCACCTGACCTGAACCCCGACCCCTGACCTGATCTGACCCCACCGTTTTGCTTCCTCCCTTCCTCCCCATGATCTGACCCCTGACCCCCGCCTGACCTGAACCCCACTGCCGTGACCTGACCCCTGGCCCGCTCTGACCCCCCAGCTGGAGAACGCCAAGCAGTCGGCGGAGCGGAACAGCAGCCTGGCGGGCGCCGCACACGAGGAGCTGCAGCAGACGCGCGTCCGCATCGACAGCCTGAGCACCGAGCTCAGCCAGCTGCAGAAGCAGGTGGGAGCAGGGGGTCCTTTGCCCCCAGACCCATGGAAACCCGGGGGGGCTCCTCCC